GGAGAAGTGGGCATCCCCTGCCAACCAGTCACATCCGCCCTGTGCTCCTTGTCATGATGGGAAATAACGAAAAAATTGTCGTCAATGCAGTGTATGAATAATGGCCTAACAATGAGTAAGAAAAATGTCAGTCAGCATTTGACTCAATGATAAATTGTATTTGCTGACAATGTCATTATATCGACCATAGAAATTACGAGATGATGACTTTAAACAAGATTGCTGATATTTTTTGTTTCTTCAACTGGTTTGTCAACAATTATCTCGCCCCAGAAACTGCTCATACGTAGAGCACGGTCTTGCGTATCAAATCAACTGAGATATATATAAACTCCGTATGCAGGTGATGAAAGTATATTGCTGAATAAGTAAGGGAAGTTGACAAATAAAGAAATTAAAGTTAATAATGGAAATTGCTAGTGTTAATTGACAGTACGTCGTCGATATTTCTAAATGTCGAGTCGAAGGCCACAACAAGTGTTTTCTTTTTTTCACGCATACGAATTTGCACAAATTCTGCTATATATGATACAAAATAGCTCTTCTAATAACGGGGCGAAACTGGTACCCATGGAAATTCTAATAGATTGTTGGAAGACCTGTTCTCCATAATAAAATTGATATTGTCAATCAGAAACTCAAGAAACGCGACCATCTTTTTGATTTCATCTTTAGTGTACTTGTGTATACATGTATATAAACCCCGTATACATGTGATTAATTTATATTGCTGCATAAGTAAGGAAAGTTGACGATTTAAAAGTTAAAGTCATCACGTTTATCATAGAGTTTGATTGGTAGATTGCCATTAAAGTCTTTTCCAAGAAAAATATCCAAAAATGAAACAGATGTGTCGGACTCTCTGATATCTTTTTTCTCAAGCTCATCGGGATGTATCGACAAAAGAATGGAAATAACTATTGCTGTTTGACAATACGTCGTGATATATACTTAACCCTCAAGAAGACATTTTCGTGGTGTCGGTAACAGGGTTTCTTGTCTATGTAGAGTGTATGTCTTGATACTTTGTCGTCTCATATACATAACATGGAACTTCAAACCATCTGTACTATAAGGGTCAGTAAAACATAAAAATTGAAATCTAGTTATTTTACATCATTTATTTAACGAAAAAATGCAACAATAATAAAAAGTAACCATTCATCAACTTTAATAGTAGCCCTGAAAAAAAAAAAATACATTTGTTAACATTTGAGAAACGAAGAAAAAGTTAAAGAAATTTGGAAGTAATTCGCATAATATAGACGCAATAAATTAGGATTACCTTTCCACCTCCTAAACCTTTTCCTCCCCATCCAAAATTTCCGTATCCTCCGTATCCGCCATATCCTCCGTATCCGCCATATCCGCCATATCCGCCATATCCTCCGTATCCGCCATATCCTCCATATCCGCCATATCCACCATATCCGCCGTATCCTCCATATCCTCCAAATCCTTTACCTCCATATCCGCCAAATCCTCTAAAGCCACCATATCCTCCATATCCGCCATATCCTCCAAAACCTAATCCTTTTCCACCGAGGATAACAATGCTTTTACCGTATCCTTTACCATAGAAGGCATCGCTAAGGGCTACGAAGAGCAGGACTAGGAAGCACAGTGACTTAAGCATTCTGTCAAAAAGAGAAATTAATAGGCAAATAATTCAAAGCCATTATATCAAAAGTGAAACTCAAATGGACAAAAAATATATAAAGTGTTTGCTTTTTATGGTTTAGAGTCAGCTTTAAGTCGGTAATTTAAAATTATATGATACTCAGAAGTTCGCAAGAGCATCGTTTACAAAATTTCATGGAGAATATCATACAGTTTAAGAGTATGTCAGATATATAACCTTTATGAAAGTTGTTTTTTTTTTTTTTATATATAAATAGTCCATTCTGAATAAAGTATTGGTATCGTTATGAGTAAATATATTTCCTATTAAATGATAATAAAAATTGACGATTGAAAATCTACAAACAACTGAGATGTTAGTAGGCCATTATCGAATACCGAATAATTTTTGTTAGTTAAAAAAATAATACTCGATATATCTGAACGTCGAATCGAAAGACACAACAAGTGTTTTCCTCTATCAGAAAATTTGAATAAATTTTGCTTCATAGGAATATATAAAAGGTCAGCTACAATATGAGCACAATTAGTGCTCATCGGATTTCTACCAGTGTTGAAAAAATTGCTCTCCTGTAAAATAAAAATAGCCGACGAGGATCTCCAGCATCCTTATAACAAAAACATAAGAGTATATTTATATACAATCAGTGTGTTCTTCAAGAAGGAAATTTTGTTTATGAACAGCCACAAAATGTGAGAAATTCCGAGTTCCGTATTATTTTTTTTTATTGAAAAAACAGTTCTCGTATATGCTAATAAAGCGTCTTAATTATAATTAATAGTGAGGTATTTTGCATAAAGTGTAGAATAGTTTCGCTATTACAGATTATCGGAAAATTTGAAGTTTTTTTAGGATCCACATCTGATTAACAGCGTTTCTAGAATTAAAAAAAAAGCTTACCTTGGTTGATATTTAGGGCCTCAGAGACGGTTATGAAGAAAACGGATAAAACTCTCCTTTTATACAACTTCTGCTAAAACCTCTTAAATGTTATATGTCCACATTTGAAATTGTTTTTATCAAGAAAATTAATTATACAGATATGTTTTGGTTGATAGTTCAAGGATATATCCGTGTCTTTATCATAATTGGTCGTTAATACCAAAGTCCGCATTACTTAACAATCAAAATATACATCCGGTTTGTCCAAATACTGTCACCTAAGGAATATATATTTGAACAACTATGAAGAAAAGGAAGATCCAATAACAAAGGAATTTTATGCAAATTTGTAATTTTCTCTTTGGAAACAATTTTATGGGTTTTTTTTCAGTATTATATTCAGTTTTTACATCAAATTGAGCACAACGAAACTATTATTATTATTATTGAATTTGTGGCATCTTACACACAGCAAAATTCGGAATGGAAAAACAGTGGTTACAACCCATAATCATACCTTTTTTATTTTTAACGAGAGAAGTTTGTAAATGAGAATGGTGTTGTCATGCAGCCTTAAGTTTCTTATTTATTCAAACCTGGACTATATAATAAAAAAATTATGGAGTCTTATGTTGTTGAAAATGGTTTGTTATTCACGTAAAATATGAAAGAGCCCTTAATTATCTAATAATAACGACAATAATAATAATAATAATAATAATAATAATAATAATAATAAATTTGTTGTTGCTATAGATTTTGCTTTTTAATTACTTTTTGAATGTATGTCTTTTCTTTTCCATCCACAGTACCCCCACTTAACTGCTTTTTAATGATGATTATTCTACAAGTTGGATACTTTATTCTTATTAAGATATTCTAATTCCTAAAGAGTTTTTCATAAAATAAAGTTTATATACATTATTTTATTATATAGTCTATTTATATTCCCTATATAATCTTTACAAGCGCAAATGGTTCATAACACTACATATTCAGTGGATTTGAGGCCGTATTCACCGGAGGGTCATTGCGCGTGCAGCTGCATTGTGACGTCATAATCAATACCTCAAACAACGTTGTAAACAATGATTGCAACGGCCGAAGCGAGCTACGTATATGAGCAGAAAAAAATATTATACAAACCTATTTCAGGATTATTTTTAAACATTTGGACGTCTTACAAAGCGAAACTTGGAAAGGAAAACACGGAGGTGACAAACTGTAATCTGGGCATTTTTTTTTTCAACGACGAAAGTTCGTAAATGAAAATGGTGTCGTCATTCAGCCTTCAATGTCTTATTTTTTCAAATTCAAACTATATAATAAAACAACTATGGACTCTTTTGGTGTTGAATATTATACATTGTATAATTATTGATGGTTTTTGAGGTCAATACAATGATTTAGCCATCTGAGGAGTACAATATTCACCGAGCCCGAAGGGCGAGGTGAATATTATACTTCGAAGATGGCTTAATCATTGTATTGAACGAAAAATACAGCAATAATTGTTTTATTATATGATTCACTGATAAAATGATACAGCTCATTACTTGTTTGCATTTTATTAAGTCCTAGTCAAACACAAGAGAGAAGCAGAATTTAAAAAATGTGAATAAACCTTAACAGTCGTATCAATTTGAAATGTTTTTTTAATCAATTTTAGTTGCCATAAAAGAAATAAATAATGTCAGTCTTTTTTATAGGATAGATTTTGAAAGGAAGGAGTATTATCAGGGAAAAACTGACAGTCAAAAATTTAAAAAAAATTGTTGTTCAATAAAAGTGTTGGAAGGGGGGGGGTCCCTGCATCCCCTCTTACCACCCTCACCTAAAATATAAATTCGCTTATGTTTTGTTCACATGAAAAAAAAAATCATAGTCGTTTAAATAGCTTTCTAAAATAATTTGTATCAATTTGGAATTTCCCAATCTATTTTTAGATCAATGTAGAGGAAATAAATCCTTGTATTGACCTGGAACGTCACGTGCAGGTCAATACAACGTAATATTTTTCTAACATAGTTGGATATCAGCCAATCAGAGAGATGGAAATTATTCAATCATATAATAAAATATTTATATTTCATTTTTCAATGTCGCTACGATTAATTAATGAAAGGACGGACTAGTTTCATTTTGAATTTTGAAAAACTAGCTAGCGCGCATTGTGACAACGCACTTTGAAAAAATTACGCACTTTGAAAATTTTTCAAAGTGCGTTAAAATTGGGACAAAATCAAGGCACTTTGAAAAAAAGTTTTCAAAGTGCGTTTAATTTGGGACACACTCAACGCACTTTGAAAAAAAATTTCAAAGTGCGTTGAGTGTGTACATAAACATTTTTTACTATGGGGACATTTAACGCGCTTTGAAAAAAAGATATGCATAAAACAAAAAATTGTAGACTATTCTACATTTTAGTAATTAAGAGAATCAATTTGTTATAATTATATCTTTCAAAAACTTTTTGATTTACATGTACTCATTTAACCTCATTGAGAACAAGGAAAAGACGAGTAGAAGGTCTCTCAGCCCAACTCTTTTTTTTTCTTATACACTATACATAGCCGTCGGTAGCGAATTGAAAGTGGATACCCCCCCCCCCAACATAAGTGCCAATTTCAATGCCTATATTATGTCTTTGCAAAACATTGTGTGACTACCTCCCCCCCCCCCCCCCCTGCGGGTACAGATGCCTATGCTACACCCAAATATATGTATTTGCATAACTGGTATGACGTTGAAAACTTTCAATAAATTTTAGTTTACATATAGAATGCATGCAAACTGAAAAAAAATTAAGTACAGTAAAACATTTCAGAGAGAAGAAATTTTCAAAGTATGGAAAAATAAAAATCGCTCACTTTCACATCCTGAAGTGACCTCATCACCAAAGAGTTATCAAAGTTCAATTATTTATCATACCCAAGATTTGCAAGAATATTGACCAAGCCATACATATTTTTTCAAAGTGCGTTAATATGGTCGATATTAACGCACTTTGAAAAGAAATTTTATTTTTTCAAAGTGCGTTGATTTGGTCCCAAATTTTTCAAAGTGCGTTGTAACAGCGCATCATAGAATAAACCATCCGAGCAAATGCTGTTCAAAACTCATATTCACTTAATAACCTTGTTTATTATATATTTGTTATATAATACAGGGTTTTTTGAATCCCTGATATGAACACAGACACGCGCCCTGTATTATACACCCTGTATCAGCACCCATTATTTCACACTTTCTCACACCCTTTATCACACCTTTCCGGAACATCTCTGTACTTTTTATACGGAGTATCTATCTCGGATGTTTTTACTATCATATTCAATATGTTGTTTTCATTTGATCACACAAGGAGCCTTATAACTGACGTCACATAAACATTAAACGACGTCACAATGTAAACTATTTTCAAATATTTGCATTCTGTCCGTTTTCTCCCACTATGAACCTGCAGTCTGCAATTTCGTTGATAGGACTATAGACACTTGGGTGTTTTACATTCAAAAAATGCAAAATGTCTGTACTAAATCTATTTCAAGAACGATAACAGCTCTTAAATATAAATTAAAGAACTTGAAAAATTATAGAAAAATAGATTCTTGAGTAATAATTATTATTAAAGCATTCTCTTTTCATCATAGTTTTATATTATCGCTTTTTCTCAGAGGGTTTCAATAACTTTGAACGATGGCGTCACAACTGAATCAAAACAAAATTCTAATGCAATTGTTTTGTAAAACACGTTTTGATTGACTAAAGCACTGTCGTTTGAAGAAGTAAAACGAGCATTAACGAGAATGAAAGCTTTTTATTGTGATGTCATAATAGAGCGACGCAAAAACATAATGCTCCATTACGTATTTCATATAACGAAACTCAACAAAATAAGACGCAAACAACAAACAAAATGCATGGGATTGTCTACCTACTGGATTTCCAAACTTCGATATATGCCAATGAATTTAAAATTAAAGAAAGAACAGAATCTGCCACATCTGGTTTTTTTTTATTTAAATATTGTACTGTTTATAAATTGATAAGGGCTTACTAGCCTTACGGCTTAAGGTTTTTCCACCCTCACAATTTTAATGGTTCAAAGTACAAAACCTGCATTTATTTTCATTTGATATCGTTTGAATTTACTGATTATTGCAAAAAATGTATAGGTTGCCATATTATTTAGGATAGGAGACATAAATAAACAGAAGTGTATGTCAACATTAAAAAATTGTACCTTTTTTGTAAACATTATGGTAAAAATTATGTAAAAACTGGTTCAATTGCATAATTCTGTTGAAGTCAGTACTGTATAGTAAATAAGTGTTTTTAAATAATGTAAGTAATATTTATTTCAGGTTTAAACTGTTGACATTAATAAAAATTATGATCGAATTATTTGTGTTCTTGTTATTAATATTATCTGGTAAGTTTTATAAGATTTGCATTTATTTAAAGAATAAGTTATTTATAGCTACAGACGACCTCGGACTGTATGACCATAAATTTTATGGTTGATTGCACCGCAGGTATTTCGATTAGGTTACCTGGTTTGGCGGGTTTTCACTTTCCCGGTGGCACAAGTTCGTGCTACATATATCACCCCTACTAGTGTTATTGTGATTTAAATTCAAGACACGTGGTTTAGATTTACCTATTCAAAGGTTATAGGGTAGATCCGGTTTTATAAATAAAATTGGCAGTAAACAGGAAATTGCTATAGTCTGTTTCTTCTGAAACATGTCCTGTGAAAAATATGTGTTTGCACACCTTTCTGAAAGACTTTCAACAGAAATGGATGGCTTAAGGGGGGGTGGTAAATAACAATTAATACATCTTATACTTAACTGCAAAAATTACAGCTCACTAGCGACCGAGATGCTTGTAAAAAATGTATAATATCATTTACACTGACAAACCTTTGTTTGCCTTATATGGCTATTGCTATTAATGCGCACAGAGGATCTTACCACGAGCAACGCCAAATACATGTTTACATGTTACTTCGAACACGTGGTTCAGGTCAATCTATGATCATATCAATGGAGTGCAAAGTAAAAAAAATGTTCCTATGAAACATTAGAAACTATTAATAATATCACTGGCGTTTTTAATTTGTTAATAACTATAGAGAAAA